TGGGCTCTTTGATCTTCATCAGTAAATATTTTAAGTCTTCTTCACTTTCAGCAAACAAGGTTGTATCATCTGCATATCACAGGTTGTTAATGAGTTTTCCTCCAATCCTGATGCCACGTTTTTCTTCATATAACCCAGCTTTTCAGATTATTTGCTCAGCATACATGTTGAATAAGTATGGTGAAAGAATACAACCCTTTCGCACACCTTTCTTAATTTTAAACCATTCAGTGTTCCCATGTTCTGTTCTCTTGGTTCATGTACAGATTCCTCATGAGCACAATTAAGTGTTCCAGAATACTCATACTTCACAGTGTTGTCCATAGTTTGTCATGATCCACAAAATCGAAAGCCTTTGTGTAGTCAATATAGGTAAACATCTTTTTGAAAGGCCAAGATCCATCAGTCATCAGCAATGACATCCCTAATTCCACGGATTCCTCTTCTGAATCCACCTTGAACCTCTGGAAGTTCTCTGTCAGTGTATGCTTGCAGCCATTTCTGTATTACCTTTAGCAAAACTTTACTCGCATGGGATATCAAAGATATTGTCCGATGATTTCCACATTCCGCTGGGTCGCCTCTCTTTGGAATGGGCACAAATATGGACCTCTTCCAATCAGTCAGCCAGATAGTTGTCTTCAAAATTTCTTGGCAGAGATGAGTGAGTTCCTCCTGTGCCGCCTCACTTTCTTGAAAGATTTCAATTTTTATTCCATCAATTCCTGGTGCCTTGTTCTTTGCCAAGGAAGATGTGTATGTGTAAATGCACATGCAGAGTTAACATTACATTTTACCTTAGATTTCCTTCTATGGTCTGTAAGTACTATATTGATCCTTCTAACCAAACAGCTCTCAGGGCCTAAAAAGGACAGATTTACTAGCTTCTCAAATATTTGTGACTTGTTTATGCTAAAGGGACAAGTGCTAGGACCAAGGAAGCAGCTCATTTTACTTTTCTGCCAAGATTAAAGAGATCAAAAATATGCATTAAAGAATCTGTCCCCCTAGGAGATATAACCTAGGTTTTCTAGAAACCCATGAATATACTCTGGGCAAGTTGTTGGGAATTTTGTTTGTTTTTTTACCATATTAAGTGCACATTCAAATATTCAAATGTAGGTGCAAACATAATCAAGAGAGTTCAAAGAGCATTTTGCTAAGGGATCTAAAAAAGCAAAGCCTAAAAAAGCGGCCACCAAGTCGAATCCAACTCACAGCGACCACGTGTGCTGCAGAGTAAAACTGTGCTCCATAGGGTTTTCAAGGTTGTGATCACCAGACCTTTCTTTTGAGGAGCCCCACCACTCAGGAGCGTAGTGGTTACGAATCAGGCTGCGAACCTTAAGGTCAGCGGTTTGAAACTACCAGCTGCACCGCGGGAGAAAGATGAGGCTTTCTACTCCCGTAAAGATTTACACC